AAACATCATGAAAAACATCCAGTCTCTATCTAATTTCGCTGAAACTTTTTACGCCTTTTTCAGACTAAGATTATCTTCATTGGCAATATCTTTTTTTTTCATTTCGCTGAAGTGCGAATGTCTTTTTTTTTTCGTTCATAACAAAACAATTTCACTTTTCGTTATGCAACGCCAATGCAATCATATTTTTTAACATGTATTTTTGTTTTAATAATGAGTTACTCAATGACAAGGAAAAGAACTAATTATATTTTTTCTTAAATTCTTTCATCATGCATTTTCATTCAACAATGAATCAAAGATCCGTTTCCTTTATTTCATGTGATGAAACTTGTACCGAAATTGTCACTATGCTTTCTCTGTTATAATGATTATATTATAAAAATTCGTGTAGTCAGGTAACTGTGGTGAACTCACTACACAGATGTAATGTTCTGTGAGACTCCAACCGTAATCATGATGGCTTAAATTAGTCTAGCACAAAGCCAAAAGTGCCCAATGAGGATAACACAGCTGCCTTTCCATGTTGGATTACAAGTAGCGAAGTGGAATACATTTGAAAGTCGAACACTGCTAAATTTAGAGTTGAATTTCTTCTCATTAGTAGTCCAAACACGATGAGATTATTTCAAACAATGGCTCCTGAGTTCGCAAGTATTAAAATTTAAATGTATCAGAAAGTGCGACACTGAAATCTGAAGACGTAACAGGATAACCAAGGACGCATTCCAAATGCTAAGCACTGGACGAAGAAGAAATAGAACGATTTCGCTACAAACAAGGAAAATTGAGCCGAAATGCTACGTGATATCTGCCCTCCTGTATGGCAGTGAGTGCTGGACGATCTCCTCGAAGATGAAGAGGAGACTTGAAGCAACAGAAGTGTAGCGCTACAGAAGGATTTTGAGAATACTGTGGACCGAATAAGAGAGCAACAACGAAGTTCTTGATAAAATGGAAGCAAAAATAAAACTAATGCTTAACATCAGGAAGAGACAGTTGAAGATAAGTGAGGAAAGAGGACTTGGAAAATTTGATATTCACAGTACAGATTGAAGGCATGATTTTACAAAGAATAACTAACTTAGAGAGCTTGAGTAAATTGACGGTGAAACAAGGTTTAAGAGATATAATTGTTACAGAGGAATGAAGTGTCGCTGCCGACAATTGAGTTTGAACATAGATCGTCAGTGAGCAAACACAAGCGATCCCATTATTGAATTAAGTAGATCACGTGACTATAGAGAAATCGCATAAGTAGGAAGTCGTTTAATTGATCGTTATTTCTAGTCTATCCTCCATTACTATTAGGGACTCTATTCCTACTCTATCCTCTATTACTATATGGACCGCTATTCTCTACTCTATTTACTATACTATGTCTCTATTCAGATCACTATATGGAAAACTGTTCGAGCAAATATTATCGAGCAAGTACTATCAGTGCGAGTGATATTCGAAAGCGTTTGACACCAGTATTGTTCAACGGCGATTACAAATTCTCTACTACATCGAGTATGACGAAAGTGACAACGAGTATTCCTTGACATCAAAAAAGTGGCAACGAGTGTTCGTTGTCATATCAAAAATAATAAAAAGATAAAATTTATTCATCTTGTAAAACTCTTCCCATATATTTAAAATATTGTACATTTTTTATTTTGGTATTTCCAATTTGTAGGATAGTTTGCATGATAAACTGTTTCTTTAGTACTTCACGCTTCCTTACACTACATTCTGTAGGAGTTCTTGGAGTTGTCTTTCCGTGTCTGCTGCCAACACTGTGTCATCTGCATATCTTTGTTGTCAACCTTATAGCGTATAATAATGAATCTTGGTAGACGCTGTATTTTGTGTTATAAACAGCGCTTACTGCTACTTCATAACCAGTGTAGATATATAGTAGTGTTAAATGCGAACTGTTTGGTGGCTTATTTTTATTGTGTTACGTGATTGAGGAGTCATTCCCTGTGCAGTTAAAAACACAGGAGTCAACAGAGAGAAGACAGCGATTCCTAAGTCCCTCCCGACGCCAATGTACCGATTGAGGCGTGTGTGTGTGTGGGAAGCTCTGCTGATGATATAAGTATTCACAATTAGAATAAGAATGACCTTGGACCGATAACATCTTCTACCAAGTTTTCCAAGAAACAAGGCTCAAAACAGAAAACCCATCACAAAAATTCAATATGTGTATTTAGTAAATATAAAAACTTCAAGTGCCTTGGTATATTGATTAGTTATAGCAAATTTAGTATAGGAGATAAGGAAATTAAGTATAGAATAGATTGCGCTAAAGATAGTTTCACCCAACACCACGAATTGCTACAAAACCAAAACATTAAACTAAAAACTAGAGGCAAGTTGTTAAGCAACTTTGTCAGATCGAGATTTTCGTCAAACCTGTTCAGAAATATCTAAACTCTCAGCTGTATAGAACCGGTTTCTCTGATCAAGGGTTAAAAATGGCTTTGAGCGAGTGAACCTGTGGGTCTTGACGAAGACCACATTTCTTTGAACCTTGTGTACTGGCGCTACAGAATCACAAACAAGAAACTGTAGCTAACAAACGAAATCATATTACTGGAGGACATTCAGCAATACAAAAATTAAATCGGATATTACATGTAACTCGAAGAGCGAATGATGTCATAATCATGATGTTGATATTGCACTCTAGAAATAGCGATAATAGCTACTGGATTAAGAAACCTATTTTCAAGAGAAATTGTTTGAAGGCAAAGATTTTATAAATATCAACCGCCAGTAATACTTGATACTAGGTCAATGTATGCATGTTTCTTTATAAAGAAACGACTAATATTACTATAGCTATTGGTTTAGGCTGTACAACAATGTATCCAGTCAAAAACAAAATGGCGGCAGCCATGGGAAATCGTTTACGACTCTTTATAGTCGTTCATTTACAATTAGTTGTAATTTTCTATTTTTCAAAAACGGGACCAGTACATGAAAGGAGCAATTCTATATCAAAGCAGCTGTGAAAGGTTTTAATGATTTAATATCTTCAAAATATAATAATTATAATTCTGTTAAATTGTTTGTTTTTTTAATTTTCATGATAAGAACTGTTAGAATTTGTAGTGTTTTAAACGACCACTATTATACAAGGGTGTTATCAATAAGGATCTGTCAGTGTTTAATGTCATGTAGTTTGTGCTTATTTTTAGCGACGCAGTCTGCCCTTTAATCACATAATTAATAGACTAGTCGTCAAATGATAAGATGCTTGTGGTGCAACTGATATAAGTAATACGTGTTTAAACATATTCAAAGACGTAGTTCATTTAATCAAAATTATGCAAAAATAACTGGAATAAGCATACAGTAGTTTATGTCGACTACTCTTATCTAAATTGCTGTGAAACAGACTTTCCAAAACGTGACAAAAATTGCTATTGAACTTTTCTTATTTTCTTACACATAGGTAGCTAAAGAGAGAGTTCTGGTTGTTTGGTCATATAATGAGGAAGGTGGGCTTAGAAAACTCAAACTTCAAAGCGAATATCAAGGAGAAGGGAGATAGCGGAAGGCAGAAGAAGAAAGTAATACTCTAAGCAGATTCTGAGATTATTACTGAATCTATATGCAGACGATACCACAGTTTATGGGTGAACATCCAAAATGATGCCCTGAGCTTGGTAACTGATATCACCCCTGAACTTGCTCTGTACGAGCGCAATGCAAGTGAAACTAGCTTGTAACAGTCAATGTTAATAATCTTTCCTCATCAGTGAATTTTTTCCAGTAATGGTGAATGATTTTACTCTCAAAGAGAGTGCATGTCTGGAACGTCTGTTGGGACCCTGGCTCACTCTAGCCCTTAAGGGGAACACATATATACAATCCATCGCTAGATGATAGAAAAATGGTCGTTTTCTCGTACTGCTCCAGGAAGTACCTGACTCTTCCTGCCATGTACTATCTTTACAAGAGCCAAATCAGACCAGAAACAGGAGCCAGCCTTGCCGCCATTTGGAGCTTCTAAATCCTCGATTTTCTGCCTTGACTGAGTTTCTTGTCTTGTGCGTGATAATTTTTTTCCATCATGCAAATCATATCTCTCAGAAAGAACTCTGCAATTTTTTTTGGACAAAAGACTAGTTTAATACAGCACCCAGTGAGTAAGGAATTCAAATGTCTGGAAAATAATCTACCAGAAGTAATTTTCTTTCATTTCGCTAATTTAAGTGATTCTTACCTAAAGATCAAGAAATTGCCCGGGAACCAAATCTAGTACGAACTTTTGTCCCTGCCCTTTTTAAGCAGTACTGTTTACAAGATCGTTGTATACAAACGGAAAAGGCGTAAATGGCAGATATTAGCATAATGTATTTACAATTTCGAATAGTAGCTCAGTTAAGAAAAAAAACTGCGTTTTAGATTTAAATAATGTACATTGCAGTACACAGGTTTCAATCTTTTACAAAACCTAAAACAAAGGACTTCATTGTAAAGATCAGGAAACCATAACTGCAAAATTCCACTTTTAGATAACAGACTTCACGATTTCATTTCGTAGAAATAAAAAATAAAAAGTATCAGAGAGTTGGCAAGAGCCTATTTATCTGCTTATTTGATCACACCTTCTCCGGAAGAATGTAATTTCAATGTATATAAATATTTACGAGATTTATTTATATTGCTCTGTTAGTTCGTGAGCAGAAATGTCAACGCATGACTTTTAATTTACAAAGAACCCGTTTTGCGAGGGAATTCGATTTTTATTTTGTAAGAACTGATTTTTTTCCCCCGTAAATTTGGAAGAGAAAATTTTTCAGTCATAAAAATGTTGACTACTCTGTTTGTTTGCAAAGTAGAAAATTATGGAAAAATATGAAATTCCTTTTTTGTTGGATAAGAGTCAAACGAGGAAAGAGAAAACTGCAGTTGACAATGGTCTATATTGCGAGAAGTGAAAAATCTTTTTGAAAAGGTAAATAGTTTCTAAATAAAAGGAAAACATAAATAAAATAAATTTAAAACGATAAAGAAAGAAATGAAGCGAAAGAAAGAAAGGAAGATAAAGATGAAAGTAAGAAATAAGAAAAGAAATTATCGTATAAAAGAAGACAACTTAAATGAAAGAATATTAAAAAGAAAGAAAGAATAAAAGCGAGAAAGAGAAAAACAAAGTATAGAAAAAGAAAGAAAGAACCTAAAAAGAAGGAGAAAAAATATAGAAAAAGAAAGAAAGAAACTAAAAGGGAGAAAAAAATATAGAAAAAGAAAGAAAGAAACTAAAAAGAAGGAGAAAAAATATAGAAAAAGAAAGAAAGAAACTAAAAAGAAGGAGAAAAACAAAATATAGAAAAAGAAAGAAAGAAACTAAAAAGAAGGAGTAAAACAAAATATAGAAAAAGAAAAGAAACTAAAAGGAAAAAATATAGAAAAAGAAAGAAAGAAACTAAAAAGAAGGAGAAAAACAAAATATAGAAAAAGAAAGAAAGAAACTAAAAAGAAGGAGTAAAACAAAATATAGAAAAAGAAAGAAAGAAACTAAAAAGAAGGTGTAAAACAAAATATAGAAAAAGAAAGAAACTAAAAAGGAGAAAAAATATAGAAAAAGAAAGAAAGAAACTAAAAAGAAGAAAAAGAAAAAAAGAAAAAAAGCAGAAAAAATATAGAAAAAAAGAAACTAAAAAGGAGAAAAAATATAGAAAAAGAAAGAAAGAAACTAAAAAGAATTAGAAAAACAAAATGTAGAAAAAGAAAGAAAGAAACTAAAAAGAAGGTGTAAAACAAAATATAGAAAAAGAAAGAAAGAAACTAAAAAGAAGGAGTAAAACAAAATATAGAAAAAGAAAGAAAGAAACTAAAAAGAAGGTGTAAAACAAAATATAGAAAAAGAAAGAAACTAAAAAGGAGAAAAAATATAGAAAAAGAAAGAAAGAAACTAAAAAGAAGGTGTAAAACAAAATATAGAAAAAGAAAGAAAGAAACTAAAAAGGAGAAAAAATATAGAAAAAGAAAGAAAGAAACTAAAAAGAATGAGAAAAACAAAATGTAGAAAAAGAAAGAAAGAAACTAAAAAGGAGAAAAACAAAGTATAGAAAAAGAAAGAAAGAAACTAAAAAGAAGGTGTAAAACAAAGTATAGAAAAAGAAAGAAAGAAACTAAAAAGAATGAGAAAAACAAAATGTAGAAAAAGAAAGAAAGAAACTAAAAAGGAGAAAAACAAAGTATAGAAAAAGAAAGAAAGAAACTAAAAAGAAGGTGTAAAACAAAGTATAGAAAAAGAAAAAAGAAACTAAAAAGAATGAGAAAAACAAAATGTAGAAAAAGAAAGAAAGAAACTAAAAAGGAGAAAAACAAAGTATAGAAAAAGAAAGAAAGAAACTAAAAAGAAGGAGAAAAACAAAGTATAGAAAAAGAAAGAAAGAAACTAAAAAGAAAACATAAAAGGAAGACATAGGTAAGAAAGAAAATCTGTCTGTATCCCTGAAATGAGGTATTATGATTACTTGAATTATTTACATTATTCGGACAGTTTTCCTCAACTTCATTAATATGTTCACAAAAATAACTGAGACGTCCGGAAGAATTATGACACGTGGAACTAGAAGAATCTGGACGAAATAAAGGGTTCGGTTCGAAATCCCAATCACCTGAAGAAGGCCGGAATATACAACGATCGAAACGTTGTGAACATGCCAATGAAGAGAAGGAAAATAGTCTGAATAATGTAAATAATACAAATAAAAAAGAAAGGTTAACATAAGGGGGAAAAGCAAAATATAGGAAAAGAAAAAAGAAAGCCTAAACGGAAGACATAGTTAAAAAAAAAGAAGAAAGGATAAAAGAGAAAAAGAGAAAAGAATAAATAAGCGAGTAATAAACTAGAAACGAAATGAAGAAAGCCGAAAAGAAAGAAAAGATTTGTCTATATTCCTGACATGAGTTATTGCAATTATTTACATTGTTCGAACCTCATTTTTATTTCGATGTTCACACATGGCCCAGTGGATAAAAGCGTTCGTTGTATCCAGTGACTTGAGACACGGAGTTGTGAGTTCAATGCCTGGCTACTGCAGCGGTGAACAAAAACTTGAAGAGTTGAGTTATGGTTAGGTAACTGAAACATCTGCAAGGAGTCATGGCTCGTTGAACTGGTACAATCTACCCCGGTGGACGAAAGAAATAGGATTCAGTTCGAAATACCAATCATCTGAAGAAGACCGGAGCGTACAACGCCCGAAACGTCAGGAATATGACAATAAAGATGGGGACAACAGTTCAAACAATGTAAAAAACGTAAAAAAAGATAAAAGAAAGAAAGAAAGAAAGAAAGATAAGAGAAAGAAAGAAAGATAAGCTAAGTGGATCCTGTGACGTCCCTCAACAGAGCCTTCGCTCGCTCCTCGCTGCTTCGTTCGGGTGTCGCCGCTCCAAACGTGACGTCCGCCTGTTTGCGTCAGTCGTGTTGTCCCGTCCTGTGACGACCAACTGGCTTGGTATCGGTTGCGGCACACAAATGTGACGTTCTAACCTTTTGGTGATTCGGATGGGAATCTGGTTAGATTCGATATCAGCCTCGTCGTTCCCAACTCGCTTCCAACGTCTGGTTACCAAAGTAACTGCGTTGATCTCCAGTCCGCCTACCCACGTTGTGAAATGATCTTAGGCAGACGAAATCAATCAGTCGTTGGGGCCGTAATGCAAATTGAGTTCAAACGAGGGTGATATCACACAAATATGCATAAAAGAAAATAAAATGATAACTCAAAAGTTCAAGGTATCAAAGAAAAGGATAACAATACTTTATATCTGGTTGCTGGATACATAGGAGTGCGTCTATCTCCCGACCCGCTATATGGATTGTGACACGTTGTTTTTGTTAGGCGAGTTTTAACATCTTAAGTTGTCTGTTCTTTAAGAAATTGGTTCTTGGTGTGTCTTCAGGCGATAGTCGAAAAACTTATTTTGCTGGTATGGATCTAAGTCGCTCTTCAAAATAAATTGTTCTTGGATTGAAGATGAGTTCGGAAGTTGCAAGAATATTAGCTGCGATGCCTGCTTCAACTGAGCACTCTGGATTGAACTCCTCTGAACTGAACTCAACTCAACGGCGACTTTGCTTATATGGACGCCGACCAAAACCGGGGTGGGTTTGTCGGGGTTGGAGGTTCCTCGATAATTCTAAATCCATATCCACTTCTTTTATTTTTGGTTAGGAATTTTCCACTCCTTTCCATTTTTGGAAGTCTTCTCTTACTCCCACCTCTTCTTATTCTCACCATACTTCAGAGGGGCGTCAACGGTTCTCCCCACTTCTTCGTAGCAACTTCTCATACCTATCCTCTAAATGGGCGGCGGCGGCTTCCCTCATTGCGTCACGTGATCACCTCCGCCCGGCCCTCGCCATCATTCGGCCAATAGCGCCCAGCCGGGCGTGTGTGATCCGGCTGGCTTTGTTTTAGGAAGAAGAATAAAATATATATCTTGCACAAAAAAAAAAAATTATCTTTTTCTTTTCCTTTTCTTTCCTTAATTGCAGATCTCATCCCCCAATGTCATCTGGGATCTATCAATGCCAATTATCAAGTTGGGTAGTCGTCTAGCGAAAACACAGTTGACCGTCGTCTCGAAAAAACAGTTCCATTGTTCTAGCCGTATTTGCATTCTTGGTGCCAATTTCTGAGAACATAGTTTTGTTATCACAACCGAATTCTAACACCCATAGATGTCTTGTCAAAACGGCCAAGACGTGACCCAGGGTTGGCTTCGTGTGCGGTTAGAAGACGACCTATTAAATCCTTTCCCGACAATATTGTTTGCCCCCTCTGACACAGTTAATTTTTCTTATCTATCCAAAGCTCTATATTCACCTGTTCTTTGTGAGACAGTTCTACGACACTGGTGGTCAGAATTTCCACTATCTTTTCCATTATCAAAATAACATAATAAACCTCTCGCCATTTGCTACTTATCAAAATAACATTGTCAATGTCCCCGGTCGTGGGTGGCTTCTTTTATCATCTAAGCTTAAGTCTCGCCTCTCTTTTCCTTTCTTTCCTTTCTCTTTTTCATTTCTTTTTTTTTCTCTTTTCGTGCCCTTAAATTGTGTCACAATACGAAAGAAATGAAACAAAAATCACAAAAGCAAAAAAAATTGCGTGTTTTAGTGGATGGATGCAGGTTCGATCCCAGACAGTGCGCAATTCACATTGTGAAAGTAACCTGCGTTTACCCTTTCAAATAAAGTTTAAAGTAATAAGAAATTCAAACTGATTAATAATAAAATTCATTTGAATATAGTGATTTTCCAAGCGACCACCTGGAAAGATGGAGTAGTTATCCAAACTCTTGGTATCGATTCTCTGTCGACATCTACATCTCGCTTACTCCAATCTAATAGTGATTTTCCAAGAGTCGCTTAGCTGTGGTACAAGGCCGAAATTAGTGGGTACCCAGTGAGGAGCGAACTCACTACTAAGTCGTAACTGTTCTAGCGAGCCAAGCTTGCTAACATTACACCGTCTCGGGGTGCCCCTAATTAATATATATGGTTATATTTATTCCTAAATTTTGGCTGCTTTTTTTTTTCAACAATGCCTCTTCTGCTTAGTGACACACCTGTTACATTTGATAGCTTACGGGGATGTTGAGTATAACACTTTATTTAATCCACATGAATGTGTATGTCGATTAAATGTGTTTTTATTTAACATTGATACCTGTGTTTAACCTAAGAATTAGGTGATTTCAGCGTGTGGACAGATCGTGTCAGTTGTCTTTTTCTTCAATGTTTTCTGTTCAGTCATGGGATTGATGTGCTCCATTTATTTTCCATACATGATCATATTTCTCTACGATTCTCAACTTTCCAGTAGTCTCTCAAGCTATAAATATTATTTATAATGTTTCCAGCTTCGTTTACTTTCATAAATTTATCTCATTCTACCTTTCTCCTATATGGCATTGCATGCTGGACAATTCAGTCAGAGATTAAAAATAACTTGAAAGCGAGAGAAGTGTAGTTCTACCGTAGAACAATGACGATACTTTCCACAGAACACACGAGGCAATTTAAAGGAGGATAGAAACTATAAAAAAAAACAACTGGTGGCAATCAGAAATAGACAGATGAATTGTTTGGGCCCACAACAAGAAAAGAAGGCTTCGAGAATTGACGGCATGCGAATCGGTGAAGAGCTGTGGATGATCTACTTGACCTGTTTGATAAATAGAATGGGGACAAGTATCACAAAAATAATGATAGACTGTAAAGACCAAGTTTTGGTCAATTGAGTCAAAAATAATTTCCGTTTTGGTGGAACCAATTTTAATAACGAATGTGTCATTATGCATCATGTTGTTCTCAAAAAACACAGGGCCCAGTGGATAAAAGCGTTGACTGTTTCCAGTGGCGTGACCCAAAGGAGTTGTGAGTTCAATACCTGGCTACGGCAGGGATAAACAAAAATTTGGAGAGTTAAGTTAAAGGGAGATAAAAGAAACATCCGGCAAAACACGTAGAACTAGAACAATCTACCTCAGTGTAAGAAATAAAGGGTTTAGTTTGAGATTATAATCATCCGTAGAAGGCCGAAGTGTACAAAGGCCGAAACGTCGTGAATATGACAATCAAGAGATGGTCTAACAACAGTCCGAACAATGTAAATAATGTTAGGTGGGAGTTAAGAATAAATGTGTATTACACTAACATAGTTTAATTTTTGCATGGCAGTGGCAGCGTACACGGCGGATGAAAAGAAAAATGTTGTTTTCCTCCATGACAACGAAAGGCATAATACAGTAAGAACAACACAGGAAAAAGATTTGAAACTTGGTTGGTCTGTTCTACTCCACCCATCATATTCACCTGACCGTGCACCGACAAATTATAACATTTTTCGATTGCTGAAAAAGACTTTGACAGAGAATTCTTTCTTTAATAAAACCTGATTAAAGAGTTGTTGTTTTTTAATCACACCAAAGCTTACGTAGTTTTACTCAAAATGTGCCGAAAATCTGCTTGATAAGTGCCAACAAGTCATTGCAAATTATATATAATCGAGTAAAATATAATTGTACGTTACTTTTTGAAGTATAAGTTTGAGAAAAACGGAAATTATTTATGACTTAACCTAACAGAACAAGAAAAGACAGAATGTTGTAGCAAGACAATGTTCTCCAACGGTCTGAGGAAATGTGGAACGTAGTGTAGAGAGAATCAGATGAGCACATTGATTCCATTACCTATTATTAACCCAGTATAAATTATATTCGTAAAAAAAAATGTTTTCTAAGCATAACATGTAACCGCTTGTGTGTTAATCGACATTTTTAACACAAAACCAAATTTATAATCTGAAAATATCAGTGTATGATATTATGACCCGGAGACATAATTTTGAGATATCCAATGTAATCGTTTGCTGGAATTGTCTTAATAATCGTTGTTCTCGGGCAAGACACTAAATTTTCAAACCTAATTTCTGATAATAGATCGTTTTCGTAAATACGGGTTACGGCGGAAATACCTCTATCATGTACCTCCAGGAAATAGCTCCCACATAATGATAAGAGAGTAGATTGATGAAGATAATATTGCCATTAATATCCTAGCATTATGTGGGCGGTAGTTCTGAGAGGCATATTTCGGAGGTATTTCTGATACTTTCTGTACAATGAAATTAAACTCAAAATACCAATCTACCTGTAAAACATATTAAAGGATTTCTGCAGCGTTGCAGTTTACACTTGACACTAAATTCGTTCGCAGGGTGCATTTCATTCCATCCAAACATTTTGGCTTAATACAAGGAAAATTATTAAGCCGGATCTTTAACTAAGAAATAAAACCATGAAACGAAAATAAAGCAGTCGGCAACTT